TCCTCATCTTTCCCCCTCTTCTCTGTGGACAGCCAGCCTACACACTCAACTTTTCTCCTGATACAGATCATCTAGGACTTCTATGTGTTCTTTATAGAAAACTATGGACTCTTCAATGGTGATGATGTGTTCTGACAGCTGGCTGCCTCAATGTTGAGGTCATCCACTTGATTCTGGTAGTCTGCCTTGTCTGACAGGTTGCAGATGAAGCAGAGCTTTTCAGCTTCTGGGGCACCTGTGTGTCCTGGTCTGTCTCCCCAGAGGGGAAGAGGCCTGGCACTCCAGCTTTCTCTAGCACTGGGCTGCCAGGTTGGCAAGGCAACCACAACAGGCTTGCTGCTTCTACAGCTGCCAGCTGAGCTTCACCTTTCTTTGATTCTCCCACATTGATTTGTAGGTTGTTTAGATCCTCTGGGACAGTCACACCACGGGTAATTGCCCTTTTACTCCTTCCTACTGTTTTTGTTTTTGTCAGTTGTGAGGCTTGAACTCTGGGCCTGGGTGCTGTCCCTGAGCTCTTTGGCTCAAGATGAGGCTAATTGGAGATATGAGTCTCTCAGACTTTCCTGCCAGGGCTGGCTTTGAACCATGATCCTCAAATCTCATCCTCCTGAGTAGCTAGGATTATAGACATGAGCCACCAGCATCTGGTCCTTTTCTACTTCTTTGCTAAGGGCTTCACCTTTCCCAGGGAAGGTCAGGAAGCTCAACTGGGCCCACAGCTGTTTGTTCTCATGCCTTGTTGCTTCCAGACACTTCAGTCAGAGTGTCTTGTAACTTTTGAGGTACTGTCAGGCTCTCCAGTTTGGTGTGCACCTGCTCTTTCTTCAACTGTTCCAGCAGCTAGGTCTGCCTCAGCAGGTGCTGCTGCAGGGCCTCCTTCTCTGAGGTCAGCTGCTGACTAGAGGCCATGTGCTAGTGGTTCTCAGCTCCTGCAGATTCTGAGCTGCTTGGCTCTTTAACTCATTCATCTCTTTCTGTTCTTCTGACTTCTCCTCCAGCTGATCTAGCTTCTGCTGATGTTTCTTCACCTGCTGTTCTGAGGGTAGGATGCTGGCAAGCTCCTCCTCCTCACTGCTCAGCCTGTGGAAAGCAACCTGCCTCTAGACCAGCTGATCTTTCAGCTCTCGATTTTGCATCAGTGTGCATCTCATGGTCTCATGTTCTGTTGTCTCGAGGATCTTGTGCTGATCCTCAGCATGCTGATCCCATTGCTCAGTCTTCTTCTCCAGCATCCACAGCCACTGCTGCTGCCCCAGGTTCTGGAGACTGAGGCTCTGGTTCTCCTCCCCCTGGATGTGAATTTGTGTCTCCAGGTACTTGAGCTCCTTCTGCACCTGGAAGACCTGGGCCTGCAGCTGTTGCTCAGCCTGAGATGACCCTTCAGGGAGCTGCAGGGGCAGCATCTCTTGACAGCTGCTTTCTCAGTCCTACCAAGTTGGTCTCTATGTCCAACACCTGCCTCATCCCTTGCTCTCTCTCCTCTTTCAGTTGGCTCATCTGCTCTAGGAGGTGTCTCTCTCCAGCTTTAGTTCTGTCCCTAACTCTTTCATGTTGTCTGGTTGTCTTTTCAACTCTGCCTGCTCTCCTAGTGCTTGTTGAGGCTTGTGAATTTTGATCTTCACGTCAGCCTTCTGTGTCAGGAGCACTTCCAGCCTCTCCTGCAGCTCAATGTTGTCTTCCTCCAGGTCTTTATAGCTTTTGGCCTTTGCCTGGAGCTGCATGCAGCTCCATGTCATTCAGGGCTTCAATGCACTCTAGGTTGTTTTTGTTGGTCTTATTCTGCATGGTGGAGACTGCAGACAATGTCATCTCTAGCTCTGTGTTGCACTGCTGTGAAACTAGCTAGCAAGCAGCTAGCAAGACTTTTTTGTGTTCCAGTTCTCTTTCATTGGCCACCTGTTACATGTGGGCCAGGGGAGATTGTAAATCTAATTTTTCTGACACCAGCATCTGTATTGCTAGCTTGTGGAGTTCCAGCTCTGTTTTCAGTGCTTCCTGCACACAGATCATCATCTCATTCTCTTTCCTCTGTTGATCCTGCAGGTCTTTCTTTTCATGTTTCAGTTGTTGGATCTCTCTCACTGCAGAGCTGCTGGTTTTTTTGTATTCTGTTGGAATCCAGGGCAAGCGCCAGGTGTTGGCTGCACCTTTCCAGATCCTCTGTGTTATTGAGACCTGTGACCCTCTTGACCCTGGCAGCTCTGACTGTGTCCAAAGGTGGGGGAGGCTCAGGGTCTGTGTGGTCTTTGGCCGCACCCTCAATTGAATTACAGTCCCCAGTGGTGTTATCTTAGAGTCACCTCCTTTATAGCTTTCCTCTTTTTCTGGGATTGTGCAGGTCCATCAGGTCAGTTCCTCTGCTGGAATTCTTGCTAGTTTCTTTCCTGCAGCTAATGTTGTTTTTTTGTCTTGTTTTGTTTTTGTCTTGTTTGCTCAGACATACCAGCACTAGGACAGGGAAGAAGTGTGTGCATGGTGGGGTGGTTGTGTGTGTGTGTGTGTGTGTGTGTGTGTGTGTGTGTGTGTGTGTGTGTGTGTGTGTGTGTGGTGTGTGTGTGTGGTGGTGTGTGTGTGTGGTGTGTGTGTGTGTGGTGTGTGGTGTGTGTGTGTGTGTGTGTGTGTGTGTGTGTGTGTGTGTGTGGCATGGGAGGCACATTCCTAGGTTCTCTAAAATTACCTCTATTCTTGAAATCACTACCAGTTAACTACTTGTACTGTATCTCCAAAACCACCTCAATTTTCTTATCACCTCTCAGTACCTCTATCCTCTCAACTGCTGCTAGTGGTGTAACAAGCAGCTACTAGGCAGCATTGAATGTGTGTGTGGCCTTTGAGTTTCATTGGTCAGAGAGGAATATGAAAAAGGGGGCTTGGTCAGAATCCTGTGATTCAGGCAGAATGGGTGGAGTCATGATGAGAGCTTCTCATACAGCTCCATCCCCCATGCAACCCTATTTGGTTGGGCACCGGTTCTTACTGTGTAGGTAAATAGTTTTACAAGCCACCTTTTTGGCCTCTGTGATATAACTGTCTTCACTTGGAGAATGTATGTGAGTTCCAACAGGCTGTCACCGTAGACCTTCCTGAGTTGTACATCAACATAACCAGTCAACCCTTATCCCAGGATTCAGAAAGTAGATGAGCTATCATAATTTCCTCTTCATTTCCAGTTGCTCTTCAGGAAGTGACACTGAAAAATACAGCTGTCTACCACATCTAGTTTCTTCAGATCTTCACTGCATGCAGAATTATCTGTTTAGTTCTGACCATATTTGTGGACACTTGTATTCTGCAGGGAACCATACAGAACTTATTTTTTTCTACTGATTAGGTTCATAATGGTCTTGATACAACTTGCTGTCCTTGTTGCCCTGGGACATCATGGGTCCAGGGCTCCTCTCCATGAATAATGGCTTTGCTGTATGCAACACATCTAGGCCATACATAGCAAATACTTTCTATACTAAAGGGAATTTGAATCAGCAGAAATCTGTCTTCTTTATACATTTCACTGAAATCTAACCATAGCACATACACGTTCCACACACTTTGCCTGGTGATCCTAGAGGATTCAGAAACGCAACCATGGATGGAATGCTGCTCTAGAATAAAGTCATTGGAGTTTTCAGTAAGAGTAGAGATGCATGGATCTGAAACAAATGATTTTGCAGGAAACCAGGGTTACTTTATGTAATAAATCCCCTTCAGGACAAACTGTCACTGCTGTCAGTGGAGACAGATGATATATCTGGGCTGGCAATGCATACTGAAGATAGGCTGTCACAAGTATAGATGCTTATCAGAAATGTAATGAACCAAATCTCTGAATCTGCAGAATTATTTTTCAGCATTCATCTGTCTTTTAAGATGGCTGGCATTGCACCTTGAGACATAGCTGTAGGTTCATTGAGGATGGTTTTTTTTTTTCCACTTCATATTTTTTGGCATTCTTGTTCATAGACCTTGGCCAGCGTTTTTAAAGGTCAAATCCTTGCCACATTTCTAATCTCACTGACATCACCTTTTCAGGACACTCCTCTGTACTTTCTTGTCTATCACATATTTCAGGCTTGATTCTTCACAGCTGCAATTTTTAGTGAGTTTTAATGTATGAGTTAATTTGACCCAGAGTATAAAGTATGTGGCATTTTGTAAGTCATTCTAAAGACTCATTTGAAAAAATAATGAAGGTAAAGATAAGATTTTAATTTGCGTATGGATTGGATGTTTATGGTTTTAGGGAATTGGAACTTTTGTCAAGGATTAATTTCATAATTCATAATTAATTTCATAATTTAGAATTATTAAGAAGTTAGAAAAAAAGATTTTTTTTCCCCAAGGAAGTGGAAATACTGTGGGAAACTTTTATCATATTGGGATTAACTGAATCTCATAAAACCTGCTCCAGAGGTAAATACTTTTAGACCCAATGTAGCAGTGTGTCTACTTCTTTCTCTATATGGAGAAATGGGCCTAGAGCAATCAGAATTCATACTAAAAATGCCAACATTAGCTAGGCACTGGTGGCTCATGCCTATAATCTAGGCTGCCCAGGAGGCTGAAATCTGAGGATTGTGGCTCAAAGCCAGGACCAAGAAGGAAAGTCCATGCGTGTCATTATCTACCAAAAAAGCTGAACATAAAGCTATGACTCAAGTGATAGAGCACTAGTCTTAAGAAAAAAAAAAAAGCCTCCAGACTTCAAGACCTCCCCCAAATACTGGAAACAACAACAAAAAGCCAACAGTTATTTGATGAAAAGTACATGCTAGTAAATAATTTAGTAGAAGGAGAGTAGCTTTATCCAGAGGCATTTGATTCTGTAGAGAAAGGGTCTTGGACTTAATCCAGTTTTATACTTGGAGCCTTAAGGTAGCCTCTTCTTTTGATGACTCTTAACTTCTCTTTCTCATATATTATTACTAAGAGGATCAAATTAGCATATTTGTGTCAACTGTAAAATATCTTATGTTTACAAGGTATTCTGATTTTTCTAGGAAAAGCCAGCCAAAGTCAAAGTGGAATCGGCTTCGGATGTCTCTTCCAATAGCTCTGTTACCTCTGAGCAAAATTTCTGTAATGAAAATGACTCCAAAGTGACTCTGGAGAACTCAGAAGCTGTAAGCCAGCTCCTAAATGTTGTTCCTCCAAGAGAAGTGGGTGAAGAGAATGAGTGGGAGGAAGTGATTGTCTCCGATGCTCATGTTTTGGTCAAGGGAGGTCCTGGAAATCGAGGTACAGCAGTCACTAAGGCACCAGTTGTCAAGAATTTTGTGAAGACTGAGGTTACTCTGGAAACACCTGAGAATGACAGTCCCCGACCATACATACCACCAGCAGCTGAGGGTTCCAGCACCTCCAGTCCAGTACCTGCTTTTAAAAAGCCTACAGGGTAAGCCAGTACAGTTACATATTCTCATGGCAATGTTATGCAAATGCCCATATTTGCCTTGCACATTATCTTTACAGCATTGCTGATCTCAGGTCGTGGTCCCTATTTTGGAGGTACAGAAACCAATGCCTAGAGACATATATCAATTTGCCTTAACAATCTCCCATCCATGTATTGCTGTCAGATTCCTAGTACATCTTTTATTGTCAGTCTCCCTAAAGCACTTAACTAGAATCTGGCTGGTACAAGTATACAGTGTTAGCAGCTATGAGTCCAATCCTAGATAGAGAATTTCAAAGAAGAACTCTTATAAAGACATTCTTCCCAGTGCTGATGGCTCACACCTGTAATCCTAGCTACTCAAGATGCTGAGATCTGAGGAGGATCAGAGTTCAAAGCCAGCCCAGGGAGTAAAATTGGTAACATTGTTATCTCCAATTAATCAAAAAGCAAGAAGTGGAGCTGTGGCTCAAGTGGTAGAGTACTAGCTTTGAGTGAGAAATCTTAGGGACAGCACTCAGACCCTGAGTTTAAACTCTAGGACTGGCATCAAAAAAAAAAAAAAGCTCTAAAAAGAACCTTTTTCTAGTGGTCAGAGAACTCAGGTCTAGTTTTAACTGGCTTCCATTTAACTTTGGGCATAGTCATTTCATGCATCTTCCATGTTCCTGAAAATCTTTGAGAAGGATATTGAAAAATCATAACCTAGCCCAGCACCAGTGGCTTATAATCCTGGCTACCCAGGTGGTTGCAGAAATGTCTGTAAGACTCATTTCCACTTAACCAGCAAAATTGCTGCAGGTGTGGATCAAGTCATAGAGTGCTTAAGTTTGGGGCTTTTCCCCCTTATTCCTTTTTTATTAATGGCTTAACTGGAGTCTGTGTGTACCTCTTTCTGAAGATTATTGTGTTCTTGTAAGTGAAGGCTCCTTGTTTAACATCAGTAGTTCTCAACTAGGAATAACTGTGCCCTCAGAGGACATTGGCAATTCTTAGGAGGCTTTTTTTTTTTTTTTGGTTGGTTGTGGGGCCTGAACTCTGGGCCTGGGCGCTATCCCTCAGCTCTTCAGCTCAAGGCTAGCCCTCTACCACTTCCAGTTTTTTTGCTTATGTGGTGCTAAGGAATCAAACACAGGGCCTCAGGCATGCAAGGCAAGCACTCTACCACTGAGCCACCTTCCCAGCCCTTAGGAGGCTTTTTTTTGAGTGTTAGAACTGCAGAGGGGTTTGCTGCTAGCATTTAGAGTGATGAAAGCAACCTAAGCGTCCTCTAATACACAAGAAAGGCTCCCCAGACAAAGAATTGTCTGATAGTACCAAGTTTGGTTATATTATGAATTTTACATTTTACAGTCCTGTTGTTGAATAAAAAATAATATTCACATGGTTCGACCTCAAACAAGTACAAGGAACTCAGCTAGCTGGGCACCAGTGGCTCACACCTGTAAATCCTAGTCACTTAGGAGGCTTAAGATCTGAAGTTCACGGTTCAGAGCCAGCCATGGACAGGAAAGTATGTGAGACTCTTATTTCCAATTAAGTGCCAGAAAAGGAAGGAAGGAAAGAAGGAACAAAGAAAAAACAGCTGGAAGCCATGGATCAGTTGGTAAGAACACAAGCTCAGAGATATGGCCAAGGCCCTGAGTTCAAGCCCCTAGGACCAGCAAAAAACAAACAAGCAAACAAAAATGTTTTATTGAGCTACTCAGGAGGCACATAGGAGAAGAGGCTCTGTTAGGGATGTGGGAATCAGTAGAAGAGGTTTGGGCTAATAAATAGAATACATAAAGATGAATATGGTTGAAATAGTTCACATGTATGAAAATAGAACAGTGAGGCCAGTTAAAGTTATATTGGGAAGGGAGATAAGGAATGATAGAGGATTGAGATTGATTGGTATACATTGGAATACATTTGTGGAAATGTCACAGTGGAACACTCCCCCCCCCCCCCTTTTTTTTTTACAACTAATGTATGTTAATAATTTTCTTTTAATTTCCCTTCCACCCGTCCATTTCCCAGAATCAGTTTGTATTTCTAAGTTTCTTATTTTTAGAGATAATTTTAAGCGTATATAAACATGTGTTTATATACTGTCTAAATCTTGCCCCCCTTTTTTTAAGCAATATACTTTGGAAGTGATGTAGTATCCTTGGATGGAGTTGTGAACTTCAGACCTTTTGTTCATGACATGTGAATCACTTTAACATATGTTTTATAGAGCCCTTCCATGGTACTTGTGCTCAACATTAGCACTGCAGAGGGGAAGAAAACATAAACATTGTTCTCCAGGGTCTCTAGACTGCCTTGTGTGGGAATTTTGATAGACTTTCAGCAAAATTAGATGCTATAGTTATAATACTTGTTGGTACTACACACTGTGGTCCCTATTTATACCTTTGTATGTTTGTAATGACCTCAAAATATAGGTAGTTACTTCCCCACTTATATATTAAAATCTTGAGATGAACAGAGGAGGAGTGAAATTACTTGCTCAGAGTCATAAAGATACATAATGGTTCTATTTGGACTGTCCAAAGCCAATAATGGAAATTGCACTTTGGTTTTCATCTACTTGGTCCAAAAATTTCAGACGCTTTCTGTCTTTTTTTCAGAGTTGACCTACTCAGCACTGGGCCCAGAGCTACAGAGCTTAAAGGCAGAGCACGGGGCAAGCCCTCATTACTGGCTGCAGCAAGACCCATGAGAGCAATTCTGCCAGCCCCAGCCAGTGTGGGGCGAGGTAGCAGCATGGGACTGCCCAGGGCCAGGCAGACTTTTCCCCTGAGTGGTAAGAGCTGATTCAGACCTGGGAAGAGAGGCTATCCCGTGGGAATGGGAACAGGAATCGGGATGGAGAGGAGAGATACGGAAACTGAGTACACTTTGGTTATCAGTTTGGCTACTGATTCTTACAGATAAGACTTCCTCCATGAGGACTTGTGGCCTGAAGCCAAGCACACTGAAGCAGCTAGGCCAGCCCATCCAACAGCCATCTAGTACTGGCGAAGTGAAGGTAAGCCCCACTCCTGAGAGGGAGCTTCTTGAAGTTCTGCCTATGGCAGAAGACAGACCTCAGTTCTTAGACTAGTAGACCTCTAGAGGAAGTTAACGTGAATGATTTTAAGTTGCTGATTTTCATAAAGTGAATATATTTTATTTTTACATTTATTTATTCATACATTCATTTATTTATTTTTATTGGTCCTGGGGCTAGAACTCTGGGCTTGGGCATTATCCCTCAGCTCTTAAGCTGAAGGCAAGCACTCTACCACTTGAGCCACAGCATCACTTCTGGTTTTCTGATTAGTTTATTGGTGATAAGAGTCTCACAGAGTTTCCTGCCCTGGCTGGCTTTGAACCCCGATCCTCAGGTCTCAGCCTCCTGAGTAGTTAGGATTACAAGCATGAGCCACCGACATCCGGCTTTAAATTTATTTTAAAAAGGTTTTAAGCCTATTATTTTAAAAAATTATAATTCAGAAAACAATAAAAAACAATACAAAAGTATCCAAACTCTTCTGAAACATTTGTTTCATATTAGCCCATTTTGCTTTATCATTTGTGTTCACTCATATGTCCCTTGCATATGTGTACACATGTGTACGTGTGTGTGTAAAACATCTAAGTAAAAGGTAAGCCACATAGGCTTTGCTCCTCAGTGCTTCTGTGTATATTTCTTAGAAATAAGGATAGTCTTCTATATGTGAAGTTGGAATAAGGACACTCATTGATAGCTATTAAACAGTAGGGTAGAGGGGATGGGAAAAAAATAAATGAGGTGGATCTGACCAAACTATAGTGTATGTACGTGTGAATAAATGAAAGTCCTCTGTATAATCAATATCTGCTAGACAAATGAAACACGGGAAAGTGAAACAGGATATGTTGGGGGAACGTATAACCTATGAGAGTGGGGAGGACCATCCAAGAGGATGAATGAGGGTGATTATGGTCACACTTATAAGCATCTCTGAAAATAGAACAGCGAAATCTCTTGAAAATATCTTTTAAGAAGTGGGGAAGGGATAATGATAAAAAGAGATGGAAGGAATGAACTTGATCTCTTCTTTGTACATCATGGAAATGTTCCAGTGAAACCCCTCCTATGTACATTTTTTTTAAAAAGAACAGATTTTTTTTTTTTTTTTTGGTGGCGGGGTCTGAACTCTAGGCCTGGGCGCTGTCCCTCAGCTCTTCAGCTCAAGGCTAGCGCTCTACCACTTGAGCCATAGCGCCACTCCCAGCTTTTTCTGCTTATGTGGTGCTGAGGAATCGAACCCAGGGCCTCATGCATGCAAGGCAAGGACTCTACCACTGAGCCACCTCCCCAGCCCAGAACAGGGATATTCTTTCGCTGATGTGTTCATTCACAATTCATATTCAGATTTTTTTTTAGTTTTTTGTACTCTCAAAGTTAAACTTCTGAATAGTGTTTAAAGCTAGAACCGTCACCTATATGATTGGTTGTTATGTTGTTGTTTCTAGGTCTAAACATTGTTGCAACCTCCATTCCTCAAATGTTGGTGCCTGTCCAATAGACAGTGAACAATACTATTGCTACTTGCAACTGTAGGACTCAGGCCAATCTTAGAGATTGTCAAATATGAGTAAAAAAATGTGCCTTGGGATAGTGAAATAAAGGTATAGGTAGCACTGAAAGGTACAAAAAAACTTTGATGAATTGTTTGTGCTTTTCTTTATAAACCAAAAACACATGGCTTTTATCCATGTACTAGTTTGTTGCTTGTATTCTTTTATTCAGTTTATTAATACTAGATATTAAGAATTCGATTTTTCAAAGCATGCTTTAAGTTTTATTGTTGAGAAAGTGTCATATTTTTTAATCTCACGTTGGCTTGAAACTCAGAATAGTTTTTTTCTTTTTTGCTAGTCCTCTGGGTGTAGGCACTGTTCCTGAGCTGCTTTTGCTAGCACTCTACCTTTGAGTCACAGCACCACTTCAGACTTTTTCTGTGTATGTGGTACTGAGGAATCGAACCCAGGGCTTCATGAATGCTAGGCAAGCACTCTACCACTAAGCCATATTCCCAGCCTTCAGAATTCTTCTAACAAACTCTCCTTGGTGCTGGTATTAAAGGTGTGTGCTACCATGCCCAGCTTTTTTAAAATTTCTATATGGCCAGAATAATTATCAAAATTCCTTAAGCCAGATATTATAGCCTAGTAGTACATATTAAAAATGTGATGAGCCAGGTTTTGAAGGTTCAGACCTATCATTCTAGCTATTTGTGAGGCTTAGAACCAGAGGTTCAAAGCCTGGCCAGTCAGTAAAGGCCATAAGACTCCCATCTCCAGATAACCAGCAGAATTCCAGATTAGGGGCCCAAGTGATAGAGTGCCAGCCTAGCAGATGTGTAGTCCTAAGTTTAAACCATGTACTAGGAAAGAAAAGAATGGGGGTCAGAATGAAGTTTTGTTCTTACATGGAGTTATCTTTTAAGTTTCCTGTTTGCAAATGTTCAACCCTTAAACTAATTTTATAGTTGCCTCTCAGTGGATTTTGGCCTGTTTAGAAACCGTAGTGAACAGGGCTGGGAAGGTGTCTCAGTGGTAGAGCGCTTGCCTTGCATGCCTGAGGCCCTGGGTTTGATTCCTCAGCACCACATAAGCAAAAAGAAAAAAGCCGGAAGTGGTGCTGTGGCTCAAGTGGTCGAGTGCTAGCCTTGAGCTGAATTGCTAAGGGACAGTGCCCAGGCCCAGAGTTCAGGCCCCATGACCGGATCCAAAAAATAAAACAAAACAGTAGTGAACAGTTTCTAAATTAGAGAGAACTGGTCTGCCATCTCCCTGGCTAGGTGCTCTTCATCAGGTAACTTGTGTTTTAGCAGTTCTAAATTTTTTTGTGACAGGAATATCACCTGGCTTTACTTTTAAACAGCTGCTTTGTTTGCTACTCACAGGTGGCAGCAGCTCTGAGTGTACTGAATTTGAGACTCTTGACAGTCTCTTCATGTGTATATACTCTGTTACTTGGATAACCCAAAGTCTTATAAGTAGTTTCCTTTTATCAGCAGCATTTGGGGATTGAGTCATACACTCTTTTGCTAATCTTAAGTCAGTTAACAGGTACATGAAATCTGAGAATCAACTTGTATTTACTGTTACAGAATAATTTTAATTTAGAATGTTTTCTTTCCTTTCTAGTTTTATAAGCAAAATTAAACATAAATTTTATCAACAGTGGTAAAAGGGGAAAGAACTATAATCTTCAACTCATCTATGACATTTTAGTAGTCTTTCAAACTTCCTATTGTGCTAGCACTATCCAGCTGTACATATTTGTACATAGCTATTATCTGTCTTTATCACCTACAGTGATTGTAAATTTGATTCATGATGTTTCTGATTGTGGTATATGGAAACTACACTGAAGTTTGGCAACCTCTGGACTTGAATCTCAGTCTTTGGTGTGGTGGTAACTGCCAGCTTGCAGTCTGTTAGGGGTGTAGCTTGACCAGTTCCCTCAATAAACTATTTCCTCCAGTGCTTTTCAAGTCATGGGACCTTTGGAATTTGTCTGAAGTTCAAAAGTAGCACTAAATAACTTGTTCTGATCCACAGCTACCAAGTGGCTCAAACAACAGGACGCCTCAGGTGAAAGTTGTAGAGGTCAAGCCTGATATATTCCCTCCATATAAGTACAGCTGCACGGTCACACTGGTAAGTGTGTAGCTGTGGTGGTGAGCTGACAAAGAAAATTTGCACCTGTGGTGGGGGAGAGGGCAGTGGTAGTGAGTCACACTGGTAAGTTTGTAGCTGTGGTGGTAAGCTGACAAAGAAAATTTGAACCTGTGGTGGGGGAGAGGGCAGTGGTAGTGAGGCAAGGGTCAGATAGAAGTGTTGAAGATACATCATCCATAAATGATAGCTGCTAAGCGAATCTGTTATGTGAAAAGCAGATTTTGAGGAGGAGTTTCCAGATGGCTGTAAAGCAGAGACTAACTAAAATGGATATTCTTATTGCAGTAGTCAGAGATAAGAATCTTGTCTGACACTGGCATTTGGAACTTTTAAAAATTATTAAGTACAGGGTACAGATAAGTTTAAGTGATAACTGCACTTATTTTCCTCCCTAAAACATAAGCATATTCGAAAGAATTCTCTTGAAGTGGTTAAAAAGTATTCTTTTTTTTGGGGAGGGTCCAGTCGTGGGGCCTCCTGAACTCTGGGCCTGGGCGCTGTCCCTCAGCTCTTCAGCTCAAGGCTAGCGCTCTACCACTTGAGCCACAGCGCCACTTCCGGCTTTTGGTTAAAAAGTATTCTAAGGAAGTAACTCATTTTATTTAGCTCGGCATTTCCCACAAGAATTTTTCCTCTCCCTTTCCTTTCTTTTTGTTTTTTGTTTTTCTCCTGATTCTGGAGCTTGAACTCCAGATTTGAGCACTGTCCCTGAGCTTTTCTGCTCTACCATTCAAGCCACAGCTTTTGGCTTTTGGATTGTTTGTTGAGGATAAGACCCTCATGGACTTTCCTGCCCAGCTTCCCCTTTCATTTTTAACATGACCCATACCAGCATTACATAAATTAACTGTGACTCCTGGGTCATCCTTTTGCAAGGTAAGCAGCATGGAGCAGCAGAATAAATATTAGTCCAAAAATAGTTTCAGCTCTGTTGCTAGCATGCCTTATGACCCTGGATAAGACCTATCTTTCTCTGATCTGGTTTCACCATCTACAAAATTCTGTATTGGTTTAGGTACTTTTGAGGTTTCTGTCACTTAACATTCTTTAGTTCTGTTGAACCTTAGGTAATGGCCAGATGGCAGATTCTCTGGCTGATTCAAGTTGGATGGACAGATTTGGAAAGAATAGCTAGATTTTTAAACCTTACTTGATAATGGCAGACAGGTTTAGAAAGAATCTTTCATTCAAAAAATGTTTATTAGCTAAGTGTGATGATACATAGCTGTACTCAGCTATACAAAAGACTGTTAGTCATCTTGAACCCAGGAGTTCAAGGCCAGCATGAGGCTTGGACTTTTTTTCTTCAGAAAAAAGGAGGGTGGTTCTTCAGCACCTGTTTGTGTGCCTTGTTATGGGAGTCTAGAAATTCAGGAATTAGTAGTCAGGAATTGTTGAGCAATGATGTTACTTTTTTAGGATTTGGGCCTGGCTACATCAAGAGGCCGAGGAAAGTGCAAGAATCCCTCTTGTAGCTATGTCTACACCAACCGGCACAAACCTCGGATTTGTCCCAGCTGTGGTTTTAACCTTGCCAAAGACAGGACTGAGAAAAGCACCAAGGCTCTTGTGAGTTCCTTCCCCTAAAATATCCCCCAACCTTGTTTGTGAACCTGTTTTAGAAAAAATTTTTAAAAAGGATGTTTTAAATATATGACTGGTAGTTAGAACATCAAGACTAGAACTGAATTCTAGATTCTAAACCTCTCTAGATCTTGTCCTTACTGCCAGGGTGAGAGATTGATGGGTGTCTTAGCCCATTTTCTGTTGCTATAACAGGATATCTGAGGCTGGGTACTTTATACAGTATGGAGGTTTATTATGTAGTTCACAGTTCTGCAGATTTAAATATCATGTGCTGCTTTCTGCTCTGTATACGGTGACTCCTTCTTACTGTGTTATAACTTGGAGTAAGATATCACATGACAAGACAGAGCATGGAGCCAGAGAGCTTCTAAAACAAAGGAACTCCTGTTACAATTCTTTAATAATCAATTCATGAAGACAGAACTTTTGAGACCCATCAACTCCCCAAAGTCTACCCTCTCTAATTCCTTTAACATGTGACTTTGGGGATTTACTTTCAACACATGAAATTTGTGGGGCACTTTCAAAGCCTAGTAGACATGTACTTTTATCCGTGAGAACCAAAAGTACATTTATTGAAGAGATTGGCAGCCCAAGCCATAAAAAGAATGGATAAAAGAATTATATCCTCTTATCTCAGAGGCCTGACACAAGACCTATAAGTTGGTTTATTCCTTCCATAAAAAGAATGCCACCTCCAAGATTTTATAGATCAGATCTTTCCTTCTCACCAGCTTCCTTGCCAAGCTCTTTGCTAATGACAAAACTTCTAGCACTCTTTTTTTCTTCTTTCTTTTTTTGTTTGGTCATGGGGCTTGAACTCTGGGCCTGGGCACTGCCCCTCAGCTCTTCAGCTCAAGGTGAGTGCTCTACCACTTGAGCCACAGTGCTACTTCTGGTTTTCTGGTGGTTTATTGGAGAAAAGAGTCTCATAGACTTTCTTGCTTGGGCTGGCTTTGAACTATGATCCTCATATTTCAGCCTCCTTCATAACTGGGATTATAGGAGTGAGCTACCTGCGCCCAGCTAAACTTCTAGCACTCTTGGCAAATCTACTCTCTGAAGATGGACTGAGCTACTTGGATAGTAATACATACTTTACTTGACCCCTTGAGACTCTTTTTTTTTTTTTTTTTTTTACCAAGAAAAGCAGACATTTTCAGATTCCTTAGTTTCATTTCCCATATGTGATTGAGGAAGGGTTTGTTTGTGGCCTTGGAGATCAAAACCAATATTTGATACATGCTAGCCTAACACTATCACTGAGCTACATACCTAGTCCCATTTATAAGTTTGTCAGAGTAAAGTGACAGCATTTGAAGCGAATGGAATGACTACAGTGAGGGTAAAAAGACAGCTGCCACTAATTTGCCTCTGGGGAGGTGTCTCATAAAGCAGGACTGGCCACTCTGGACCTTTAAAGAGAATAGAAGGGAGTGGCATAGAAAGTGAAGAGTGTTCTCTTTGGCTAGGAAGATATGTAAAGGAATTGGGCTGAGTAGGTAAGGAATAGATGTCCTGAAAAGCATGTTTAGAACCACATTGTAGGAAGTCTGGATTGGGTATTTGTTCTTTAGGATCCCACTAAATGTCCAGGACCTAGGAAATACCTAAAGGAAGGTTATTTCAGGAAGGAGACTTACAAGTATTAAGGAGTAGATAAAACTAGAGATCTGGAGATATGCTTCAAACCTCAGATTTTCATACGGAGAGGGGGCTTTCTGGTGATGACTTCCTGGTCCCCAATTTGTTGATGTGCTTAAGTGGGCATTTTCTAGTCATCACTCTTGTGAGAAAGGGAAATGGAACTAAAATGTAGGGGTAAACTTGGCTAAGAGAGTTAGAATTGTCCCTCCTATTCATAAAACAAAGCAGACAAGCTGAATTAGATCTGGGCATTTTACTCTGGGAACCAGAAGCCCTAGAATTGAGCTTCAGGGAGTCTGCAAACCCCTGACCTTCATTATATTCTCTTGCTCACTGCTGCCTTATGCCCAAAGTGAGCTTTCTTACTGGATGCTCCATGCATTCATTGTGCTTTTCTTCCCAAAGCAGTGATCATGTTATACTGACTGCGTCTCTTAACTCCCTAGGAAACCATAATCTCTTCTAGGCAGGAATATCTCTTTCCCTCATACCTTCTAACTCTGGAGTTCACTTATACTGAGTGGATCTGTAATGAAAGGATGGAATTGAGTTCTGTGTAGGTAGGTGTTCTGAGCATTCCATTCCCTTTCTGGTTCACCCTGACTTGGTGTGGTTTGCAGTATAGAATGGATACTGCTTTCGAGATGTAGGATGAATGAAGTGATTTTACTTTTTAGGTCAAGAAAGAATTGTTTAAGGACCTCTTGCCAGTTGATTTTAAGTCCTACTATATATCTCTCTTTCATTAACCAGTAGCTAGCTACCCATTGTCAGTATCACACCTTCTCATTTGCCTTTATCATCAGACCTTCCACCACCCCCCCCCCCCCCCACCTCATAAAGTTTGGAGAAATAATTGTTGTTCTACAAACAATAAAACTGGTCAGAAAACGAGGACCTTTGTGTGTAATACCTTTTGAGTCCCCCCAGTAGCAATACATTCCTTGTGCAATTTTTCTTTAGTTGTTACAATTAAGTTGACAAATGTCTCTCTACCCTTCATCCCTGATAAAGGAGCCAAATTATAGTATTGCCACGTGATCTTCCAGCTTAGGGCTCAGAGAGGTCATACCTAGGAGCACATAACCTCCAAGAAGTATATTCTGTGTTTAGTTGCCTCTTGTGAAGCCAATAATTCTTTAATTCTTTCAGCTAGCATATATTGAATGTCTGCTATGGGCCAGGCCTTCAGAGATGAATAGGACATGACCTCTTCCCATAGGGAGCTTACAGTCTAGTGGAAGAGACAAGTAACCAGTTACTACACACAGATAAGAATTATAATAAAGAAATCATTATAGAGAGGCAGTTAGCCTCTACCAAGCAATGTGTGACATATTGGTGAATATGAGTCAACGTCTTTGTGAGTCCCAGCCTTATGCTAGTTCAGGAAATAAAAAAGTAATCAAGAACCCTACTTAACAAGTAGGACAATGATTTAGCAACCATGAGATGACATATTCTGCAGTAAAGGACATGCACGTGTTTAGGGAACACAGGAGAGGCAGTGATTCATGCTGCGTTGGCACAAAGGATCACAGAGGAGCCTCTGAAGATGTCTACCTGAGAATAACTAGTTCTGAGTAACTCAGAACTTATTCCTGGAAATCTCTTGAGTAGTCACTAACCTAGAAGCTAGAAAATATGAAAAACAAATACTTTAAGCAATAACGGCAATTTTTTACATGCAACATTACCATTCATAGCCTTCACTGAATCACAGATACTGTGCTAATTAATCTTATTTAATAGCTCTAGAAGGTTACTAGTATTTTTTTCTCATATTTCAGAGATGAGGAAATTACGGAAGGCTCAGAAAGATCAAATAGATTGCTTAGCCTGTAGCCTAGTAGCATCTCCAGAAATACAAAGCAAGCCTGTTACCCTTCTAATGCATAGAAGGGAAGGACTGAATTGCTTAATAAAAGGTATGTCTTTTTACCATTAGAAAGCTTCAGAGAGAAACATCAGCCTTTAGTCACACAGCTATTAGCTGAACTGATAGTAATTTCTTCTCCCAACCCTCAGTCAGGGACCTATATCTACTGCATGCAGATGATTTTAGCCTGATGCTGGTTCATTCGGCTGCCCTCCGCCTCCCCCCCCCCCCCCCCCCCTCCGTTTCCCCTCCCTTTCCCCAGTGCTTGGTGATTGATCTACTTTCTTCCCAGGAGGCAAGCTCACCACTCTCAGATGTGCCAAGTGCCACAGAGCCCCTGAGCATGGCCCAGAGGGAGATCCAGCGACAGTCCACACTGCAGCTACTACGCAAGGTCCTGCAGATTCCTGAGAATGAATCAGAGCTGACTGAGGTCTTTGCCTTGATTCATGAACTCAACAGCTCTCGACTTATCCTGTCCAACGTGAGTGAGGAGACAGTCACCATCGAGCAAACCTCTTGGTCAAATTATTATGAGTTTCCATCTACGCAGTGCCTTCTCTGTAACAGCCCATTATTGAAAGGGGGAAAAAAGTAAGCACCTCTTTATTTTATCCTACCTGCCTTATCCCAATTGGCTCTATTAAGCTTTCTTCAGACAGCTTTAAAGCTATAACCTATAGGAAGGCATTATTTTCTGCTTTTCTTAAGCTGCCTTTGTCTTTCTATTTGGGTAAAATAATCAGTGATTGTGTGTGTGTGTGTGTGTGTGTGTGTGTGTGTGTGTGTGTGTGTGTGTGTGTGTGTGTGTGTGTGTGTGTGTGTGTGTGTGTGTGTGTGTGTGTGTGTGTGTGTGTGTGTGTGTGTGTGTGTGTGTGTGTGTGTGTGTGTGTGTGTGTCCCTGAACTTTTTTGCTCAAGGCTAAGCACTCTGCACTTGAGCTCTACATCTGGTTTTTTGGTGGTTAATTGGAGATAAGAGTTGCATGGACTTTCCTGCCCAGACTGGGTTTTGAACCATGATCATCCAGCTTGTTATGATTATTTCTATTGAAAGTACCTGAAAGTTAACACCAGCTTAGAATCTAGATTACATCTGAACTTCCTAACATCTTGTTTGGGTTTGGGACCTCAGTGGAACTGGTGAAATTCAACTTTGAGAGTTGGATTAATTATAGAGGAGACTTCATAGAAGATTCCACCAACCTAGAAACATCCACCTTCAAAAACTTAGAATGCAAGCTCCAGTACTTTTTGCCTGTTGTAAAGTCTTGAGAATCATGATCCTGATCACCATACTTAAGACCACTGATCACTGAGCTTAAGCCCTATATAAAGAGACTGACTGGTTTTTATTGTGATGTTTTCTGTTCTAGCTCCCTGGCAGGGCCTCAAGAGTGCTGGCTACTGACAGCTAGCCGACTGCAGGTGGTGACTGCCCAGGTGAAGATGTGTCTGAATCCCCATTGTTTGGCTTTGCACAATTTCATGGACATCTATACAGGTGGGTTCCAGTCTTTTCTGCCCTAGAGTACATAAATGCAGGTTGAGAACCACTTTCATAGACCTAAGCCATGGTTCTTTGTATACTGGATTGCTTTTGGTGGGGCTTGTGAGGAAGAAGGGCCTTCTCCTGAGCATCTCAGTCCCAGGAGATAACACTTGCCCCCAAATGGTAGGATACTTTTCCAGAGTCTTGTTTGCTTGATGTTTTTTAAATTTTTTTTTTTTGCCAGACTTGGGGCTGAACTCGGGATCTGGGCACTGTCCCTGAGCTGCTTTTGCTCAAGGCTGGCACTCTCCACTTGAGCCACAGTGCCACAGACTTTTTCTGTTTATGTGGTACTGAGGAATTGAACCCAGGGTTTCATGCATGCTAGGCAAGCACTCTACCACTAAGCCACATTCCCAGTCCCTCTCCAGAGTCTTTAAAAAAAGAATTTTAAGATAACACCAGGTGTAATGGTGTTCATTTACAATTCCAGCTGCTTGGGAAGCAAAATTAGTAGTATCTTAGTCCAAAACCAGCATTGGCAAAAAAAAAAAAAAAAAAAAAAAAAGCACAAGATCCTTCTGAGAAACAAACTAAAAGTAAGAAGTCTTAGATTATGGTCCAAGTGATAGAGTTCTTGCCTAGCAAGTACTGAGGTCCTGACTTCAATCCTAGTACTGGAAGAAAAAAATAATCATTGTGGAAACGTTTGAAAATGCAAACAAGAAAGAAACTGAAAATTTGTTTTCATGACCACAAACTTAACATTTTGCTCTCTAATCTTGCAGATGTGTTTATTCAGAGCATAGGGAATTATGGAAAGATTTATAGGTTTCTAGTTTTTCTTTGAACAAAGGTATGTTGTGCTGTGGTGGTTTTGGAATGTGCTTTTTAAATTTATCACAGGCATCTTCCTATGCTAACAAGTAGAGAAATGCATAATCGTTTATAAAGAGATTGCTATACTCTGTTTTACAGTCCTATTTATAATTAAACCCTTACGTCCTAAATTAGTTTGGACTTTTTTTTTTTTTTTCTGGCTGGGATGGACTTTTACATAGGCCTCCTGTATAGCTGGAATAACAGGTGTACCTTTTTTTTTTTGTCGAGTTAGAGGCTTGCTAACCTTTTTTGTCTAGGCCACCCTTGAACTGTAATCCTCTCAATCACTACCCCTCAACAAGGCCACAGATGTTAACTGCCTGGCGTTTGTTTTGTTTTTCGTTTTTTGTTTTTTGGGGGAGGGGGCATGGGGGACAATTTTTCTCCTACTTTCTTAGTTGTCTTTTAAATTTATGTATGAAAGTTTTGATTTTGGAAACACATAAGTAAAACATGTGTCTCTTTAGTTCTTTTTAAAGATGCATATGTAATTTTGTATGCATTTACCATATGCATTTATGCATTTACCATAATTTAACTATTACTTTGTTAGTTGATATTATCTACAGTGAATTCTTTGTTGGCTCTTTTTAACTTGCAACAACCTGTTGTTTAAATTTTGTGTACCAGACGTTTGATGTTCATTTCAGCCTTTGCCATCATGTTTAACAAGACTTTCCCTACCCCTCTATACCTTTCTTTACTGGAACACATTTCAGAATTTGCTGTCATGCACATTTGTGTGTTATATTTCATGTAAAAAAAATCACCCTCTTACTTGTCTTAAGTTGATTGCATTTAAATGTTTCTATTTTATTCTTAAGAGTTAGTGCAAGGTGCTTTTATGGTTTTTGTTACGTTTCCACACTTTTCTGGGCTAAAGGATCTCCTGACCCTTCCCTATGTTACCACTGTGTGAAGAGTGGAAAAGGAACAGTGCCTTTAGTCCTGAGGGCTCAGTCTGGGGAATAGGGATCTTTTTTTTTTTTTTTACTGGGAAGAAAAACAATGATGTACTATGTTATTTCAGTGATTTTCTGTTTAATGAATGTATCATATGTTAACTATTATGTTGGTATGCATTTACTTTGCCTTGTGTTTGTTGTTGTTGTTCTCATTGTGAATGATGGTACAGTAAAATTCTGTTTTCTGTTTTTAACCGTCAGGTCTGTTTAATGTGGGGAACAAGTTGCTAGTAAGCCTGGACTTACTTTTTGCAATCAGAAACCAGATCAAGCTGGGAGAGGACCCCAGAGTGTGTGCAGACATTGTGTTAAAGTCTGTACAGGAGCAGACAGGTAAAGGTCATCTTCCTCTCATTCCCAAGTTTACTCCCTAGTGTCCAAGGAAATTTCAGTGATTGGTTTTAGCTCAAAGAGTTATGTCTGTCATTGGGTCTGACATTGGGTCTGTCCAAGGAAATTTCAGTGATTGGTTTTAGCTCAAAGAGTTATGTCGGTCATTGGGCCTGAACTCTGGGCCTGGGTGCTGTCCCTCAGCTCTTCAGTTCAAGGCTAGCGCTCTACCACTTGAGCCACAGCGCCACTTCCAGCATTTTTTCTTTTTGCTTATGTGGTGCTGAGGAATCGAACCCAGGGCCTCAGGCATGCAAGGCAAGCGCTCTACCACTGAGCCACCTTCCCAGCCCCATGTCTGAGATTTTTTAAGGGCAAGTATTTTTCCTAATGCATTCTTCTGTTGGAATTTTATAAAAGTCAAACTAGCTTTAGAAAGCATGAGTCTATCCATGTATCCAGGGACCTTCAGCAAAGTATCATGACTGACTTGTAGAAGTACATCCTTTGGTCATTGGTAGAATTGGCATTGAGCATATTAGGCTCATTCTGAATACACAGCTCCTAGATGTCTGCTACCAGTTCAAAGGTATCAGTCTCAAATGCTTAGGCCAAAGGGTGGAGTTGTACTCTTTACTATCTGGGAATTCTTTGCCCCTTTGTATCAAATTTAAAAGATATACTTCCTTTGTGCTCTGCCTACAGGCTCATTTCTGCAGGTTCCAGTTGACTGCTTTGCCTGCTGTGTGAACAGATGGAATAGCCACATAGTCTGTGTTTGGCTCTGTCATTTGGTGACAGTGTGATTTTGAGGAAGTTATTTTGTGCCTCTATTTCCTCAGTTATAGAATGAGGACACTAATAGCTCCTGGTTCATAAAGAATTAGCTTCCTATGAGAAATAAGTCAGATAGCATCTTCAGAGCTCCTTAGTACATAGAGGTACTGAGTTCAATACAGCTATTTTATTATTATTAGTACTCTTAGAGTTCCCTTTAGGGTTGCTCCCAAACACCTGAAGGGCAAATGTCTAACCTCCTAGTAGTTGGTGGTCTTAGAGGTTTTTAGGGGAAAATTAATCCTGTAGGATGAATGTTCTGGCTGGCCACTAGTTCTCATGAGTGCCTTCAGGGACCTTTTCTGTGACCTCCTCAGTGCTCTTGCTGTCCTTCCAGAGAAGACTTTGCCCTCAGAGGAGCTGGGCCAGCTGCAGGAACTTTTGTGCAATGGCTATTGGGCTTTTGAATGCCTCACTGTTCGAGACTACAATGATATGATTTGTGGCATCTGTGGTGTGGCCCCCAAAATAGAAATGGCTCAGCGGAATGAAGAGAATGTACTGGCACTCAAGAGTGTGGAGGTGAGTGCCTCTTGGCCATGGACAGCTAAGAGCTGCTCCCTACCTTCCTTCATACTGTTGTCAGAGATAGATGGCTCCAGTCCTGTGTAGGTTAGACCAGTGGCTTTTTCCTTCTGCAGCTCAAGATTTTTTCTTTTTTCTTTTTCTTTTTCTTTTTATTTGGGGTCCGGTTGTGGGGCCTGAACTCTGGGCCTGGGCACTGTCCCTCAGCTCTTCAGCTCAAGGCTAGCGCTCTACCACTTGAGTCACAGCACCACTTCCGGCTTTTTTCATTTTTCTTATGTGGTGCTGAGGAATTGAACCCAGGGCCTCAGGCATGCAAGGCAAGCGCTCTACCACTGAGCCATCTTCCCAGCCCTGCAGCTCAAGATTTTATATGGGGAAAGCAGAAGAAAAGAGGATTTGTGTATTTATTTACTCATTCATCAGATATATTGAGATGTACTTTTAAAATACTTATGCATAGGAATTTAACCCAGGGCCTTGGATGTACTAATGATGTGCTCTACAACAGAAATTCAACTCTTACCCTTAGCACTTTTTAGACTCTTGGGAAATAGTAGTAAAATTAAAAAACATTTTTTTAAATGAAAGAACCATAGTTTCTGTACTCATAGAAGTCAGATTCTGGTTTGGGTGAGACAGATAGGAAACAAATATGTCAGGTAGGGAATGAATGCTGTACAGCAGCATGAGGAGAGAGCAGTATGAGTGAAAGGGCATTCCTGTTAGCGAGGTTAGTTGTGGAAGGTCTCTGAGATGGCAGCATTTGAATAGAGATATGAAACCCATGGAACTTTGGTAAGGAACTGTACAGGCAGAAGGAGTAGCGAGAGTGGGCTCTAGGGCATTCTGGCTGGGCAAGATTAGGGACATCAAAGAAATTAATATGGCCAGAGAGAGTGCTACAGGGAGTTAGGATTTATAAGGTTTAGAAGCACAGGAGGCTGGGCCCTATTATAGAATCACATGGGTCATTTTAAAGACTTAAACAGTGAATAGAGAGTCACTAAAAGTGCCAGGTTATCTCAACACTAGAAAATATATCAGTGCTTGAATTAAGTTGTATAGATGTGTGAAAATGTTACAGTGAAATCCTACCTTGTGTAGCTCATACATAGTAATAAAAAGATATATCAATGCAGATCACCAACATACATATTGAAGGAGAAATAAAATGTTTATTATATTAAGTGTAAAAAATGGCCTGCTAAAGCTGGGCACTGGTGGCACACGCCTATAATCCTAGATCCTTATGAGGCATCTTGAAATCTGAGGATGGCAGTTCAAAGCCAGCCTGGGCAGCAAAGACCGTGCAACTCTTATCTTCAATTAACCACCAGAAAACTGGAGGTGGTGCTATGGCTCAAGTGGTAGAGTGCTCGCCTTAGCTGAAGAGCTGAGAGACAGCACCCAGGCCCAGAGTTCAAGCCCCATAACTGACCAAAAAAAGGCTGCTGAGCGCTGGTGGCTTATGCCTGTAATCCTTAGCTACTCAGGAGGCTGAGATCTGAGGCTCGCGGTTCAAAGCCAGCCTGAGTAGAAATGTCCATGAGACTCTTATCTCCAATTAACCACCAGAAAACAGAAGTGGTGTTGTGGCTCAAGTGGTAGATAGAATGTTAGCCTTGAGCAAAAGAGCTCAGGAATAGTGCCCAGACCCTATGACTGGCACAAAAGGAAAGAAAAATTGGTATGAGTGGTAGATGCTTGTAATAGATAAATGCTGTTTGGAGTAGAGGGCCTTCTAAAGGGAAGAACAAATCTGCAGGGCTTTGGAAGGTGGACAGAATTCACCAAATAGAATTCTGGTGATTCTTGCCAACCAGTCACAGGAATTGGAGCTTGAACTGTGAAACCAGACCTACATTCACATGCTTGTTCTGTATTTGGCTCTAGTAGTTTCACTTTGGGCTTTACCCAGACTACTTTATTAGTAGTTAAGTCAAAAGCTAACTGCTGGTACATAACAGGTACTCAAATGGTAGCTCTCCTTTCCTTGCAAATAGAAGTGATAGGAATAAAGAGAGAGAAGAAAGGGGGCTGATTGCTGTGATGGGGAACAAAGAAACAGTTGAGTACTGAGTTATTCAAATTCAGGGGTGCCCTGCAGTACACAGCTGTCAGAAGCCTGCCCTTTGCCAACCCTCCGCTTCCTGTGTGTAAAGAAGGGGAGAAGACTATTTGTTGCTAATGTTCTGTGGCTGCTACAGTTCATCTTTTCTTATCTTGATATTTTAGTTCACCTGGCCTGAATTCTTGGGCTCCAGTGAAGTAAATGTGGAAGACTTTTGGGCCACAATGGAAACAGAGGTGATTGAGCAGGTGGCGTTCCCTGCCAGCATCCCTATCACCAAGTTTGATGCCTCTGTTATTGCCCCCTTCTTTCCACCACTCATGAGAGGAGCTGTGGTTGTCAACACTGAGAAAGACAAAAACCTGGATGTGCAGCCAGCACCTGGTAAGGCCACCTGGTGGCTGATGCGTATCAGAGAAAGTCTCAGCCAAGAATCTGGGATCTTAAGCCGGGCGCTGGTGGCTCACGCCTGTAATCCTAGCTACTCAGGAGGCTGAGATCTGAGAATCGTGGTTCAAAGCCAACCCGGGCAGGAGAGACCGTGAGACTCCTATCTCCAATAAACCACCAGAAAACTGGAAGTGGCGCTGTAGCTCAAGTGGTAGAGCGCTCGCCTTGAGCTGAAGAGCTGAGGGACAGCGCCCAGGCCCAGAGTTCAAGCCCCATGACCAACAACAAAAAAAAAAGAATCTGGGATCTTGTCCATGACGAGACAAGATGGGGAGAAAGCGAGACAGAGAGATTATGTTGGCCTACTTAAAAGATTCTTACCTTACAAGACAGTGACATCTGTGACAAAATCCCTGAGAGAAGAAAGTCACAATGCACAGTTTTGAGAGGCTACCGGCCATAGTATATGGAATAGGCACACACCTCACTGCTTCTTAGAAATGCCTTGAAAAATCAAAATGTTGGTGATAAGACTCCAACCCCAGAAACTTTCATTGAGAAAATATAGGGGGAGGCCAAGGAATCTGCCTTCAAAACTGATCTTTCAGGTATTTTTCAGCTGGTGTGTTGATACACTGAGTAAGCAGCACTGGATTAGCTATGAAGAGCATAGGTTTCTAACAAGTAGGGTTTGATTCTTAGCCATGCCACTTGGCAGTGGTGTCACCTCCTACAAATTCCCTTTATCGCCTCAAGCCTCTTGGTGCATCTACAAAAAGTATGCAGTAAAGTTGTCCAGTCCTAGGTTATTGACCTGATAAGGGCTGGTAGCTTTCCACTTTTACTTTTAAGTGCAGCTCACAGTAAGAAATGTTTTGCATCGTGACCCAGAATGATATCCTTACAGATGTACATATATGTACATCTGTAACTGAAAGCTTTATTTTTACAAAGTGCAGTATGCTATATTTTCTGCTTTATTTAAAAAATCTAGACATGACCTGTTATGTTGATTTCCTAAGTACTTCATATTCTGTGATCACTGGTTCTCAAACATTGTTTCATAACATTAGATACTAAGGTATCCTATACACTGAACAATCACTGTTAACACTGAACTCCATCTTCAGCCCAGGAATTGTTCTTTTTTTTTTAGGTCCCCTATACAGTAACTTCTCTGGTTAGTCAGGTTCAGGAGCATAGTTTAAAGAGGGCATTTTAAAATGATACCTACTGCCTCTCTTGTTGCAGGTATATTGAGCATCTGAGCTCTTAGTTCTCAAAAACAGAAGACTAAACATTAACCCATTTTAGTGGGGGGAGAGTTGGTGTGTGTGTGTGTGTGTGTAACATTAACCCATTTTAGTGGGGGGAGAGTTGGTGTGTGTGTGTGTGTGTGTGTGTGTAACATTAACCCATTTTAGTGGGGGGAGAGTTGGTGTGTGTGTGTGTGTGTGCGCGCGCGCGCACGCGCGCGGGCTGATCTGGGGCTTAAACTCAGGGCCTGGGCACTGTCCCTGAACTTTTGTGCTCAAGGCTAGCATTCTACCACTTCAGCCACAGTTCCACTTCCACATTTTTGATAGTTAATTGGAGATGAGAATCTCATAGACTTTGCTTTCCAGGCTGGTTTTAAACTACAATCCTCAGATCTCAGCCTCCTGAGTAGCGAGGAGGTATGAGCTATTGGCACCCAGCTACTTTTAGAGTTTTTGTGTGTTGTTTTTTTTTTTTTAAATGTCTGTATGGTGGGTATCTACTTGAGTATCCCAGGGCATGTTCCAATTCCCAGAACTCAGCTATCTTTAGATGTCATAGGCCTACTATGCACTTTTCTCAGTGTAGAGCTACATTCCATTGCTTAGTGTCCTGTAGACCCAGCCCTTTTATTCTTATTTTCAGGTGTGGAAAACTACCTCTGGTGGCTGATGACAGCCCCTCCCACCAGCATTGTTATCTCTTGTAGGCAATGGCAGTGCCTTGGTGAGGCTGCTCCAGGAAGGCACCTGTAAGCTTGAAGAGCTTGGCTCCTACAGTGAGCATGAACTGCAGCACCTGCTGAAGCAATGTGGCATTCCCTATAGAGCAGAGGACTCCAGGGTGAGTATATAAGGTGCCAGTGGATAGGCTTTGTGGGCTGGCTACTTGGTCTTTCCAAGCAGGGTATGAACACACTTGTAATGGGGCACCTGCATTGGAGAGAGTGAGGATGGCATCCGGGAGGACTGGGAAAATAGCAACAATCAGATTGTGACATGCATGTGAGGCCCTGGCCTCTAGTCAGTCTGTCCTGTTGGAAGTTGTGGGCCTAGAGTCCTTTCTGCCCTTACTGTACCTGACCTTGGAAGAGCTATCTTTATGTTTTGAGTTTTCCTAGGTTTTTTTTTTTTTTAATTAAAATAAATACTAATTTCATGAAGCTTTAAAAAGAATGTACAGTGTCTGTTTTTCAGGTTTTTTTGAAGTAGCTGTTGTTATACATCTAGACAAGTTGAGGGACTTCACATACTAGTTTCGTTCACTTTTCTGTGCCATTGAAAATATACTTCCTTCAAATTCAGATTCATATATTAACTTCTTTAAGATTTCTCTGACTTCTAAAGAGTTGAAGGCTCCAGGCTGTCTGGCAGCTTGGTCTGTCTCTTGGGCTTTGCCTGTGATCCTATGCTTGTGAAGCCTGCCAACCCTAGATAAACCTATAGTAGTTTGGGCTGGTGGGCCTCTAAGGCCCAGTCTGGCCTAGTTGATCCTTTGTCTGAGTCTGGAGTGAGTGTGTGCTGAGCTACACTAGACCTGGCCCTTGGCATCCACTCCTGTGCTCACAATCTTGTCCTTCCTTTCTAGGATCAGCTCTGCCTCTCCTTTTTGGCCCTCTATGAATCTGTACAAAATGGAGCCAGAGCTAGACAACCCCCACCTCATCTCACCGGGGGTAAAATCTACAAGATGTGCCCTCATCAGGTAAGGAGGTACTTGGGGTAATTTGCTCATATTAAACTGCCTACAGAGGATCTGAATGAGCCAGCTATGCTTTGGGTGTTGGGACTTTGTTTGCTATGCAGCCTAGGAAGGAACTGTCCAGGTGAGCCAGGTGCCATCCTTGGGCCTGGAGAAGGAGTCAGAGTCATGGAGCAATGTGCATTTATGGGTTCTGGGTCACTGGTAAGGGTATAGGGGTGAGCAACAAGTGTTTCATTCCTTTCTGCTTTAGTGGGGGCCATTATAGACTTGTGATACTAGACTCTAAAGGAACCAAGGGTTTGAGAATAGAAAGTAATAAAGAAGACCTACTGTCCACAAAACATCCAAAGAAGATTGAGGCTTAAAGATAGGAAGGAGTAAAGAGACAGGAAGGAGTGGTCCCCAACAGAGGGACAACAAGATTCCCTACAGGGGTTTGATTCGGAGGGTAGTGAGGGACTTTTTGAGTGGGGCTTGGGGTACTATTGTCATGGTCCTATTTTAATCTGGACAAATCACATCAGGTGTCTGTAGAAGGATATGGACAGGGGAGATCTTAGGGTAGTTCTGAGACAGGTTGGTACCTCATAACAGAGTAGGTCTGCGAAGTCTGGATGGATGGAAAATCCAGTACTGTTAACAAGTACTGAGTAAGTGGGGTATCTCAGCCAAGGCTTAGCTCACTGGGGTATGTGAGGACGACCTGACCGAAAAGGGAATGAGGTCATGTCATGAGACAGGAGCTATGTCTGAGAGGCTCACGGCCCCCTGGGCAGAGCAGAGCTTCTCAGGAATGTCTTTGGGCTATGTCATACTGGATGGTCCTCCCATCTACCCCCAGGTGGTCTGCGGCTCCAAATATCTTGTTCGAGGTGAAAGTGCTCGTGATCATGTGGATCTTCTTGCCTCTTCTCGCCACTGGCCGCCTGTCTATGTGGTAGATACCGCCACTCCAGTGGCCCTGTGTGCTGACCTCTGTTACCCAGAGCTGACCAGCCAAATGTGGGGAAGGAACCAGGGCTGTTTCTCTAGCCCTACAGAGCCACCAGTGGTAAGTGACTACCTAAATTAATGGAATGAATCTCTCAGTCTGACCATGTACCATCTTCCGAGACATGACTTGAAACCATCTCTAGCATCCTTTTTCTCCACCCGAATTTTGTCCTGATGCAGTGGAATCAACATTTACTCTAAAACTTTATATGGACTAGTCACTGTTTGAGGCCAAATCAAGTCATTAAGTATGCCTGAGGTGCCTTGTAGTAAAAAGTTGCCTTCCACATAAGCTAGAAGAATGCCACTTGACCAGCCTTGGAACACACACTTTTTTTTTTTAAAGGAGAAAGGTGATGTATGAACCCAGGACCTTGCATTAGTTAGGCTGGTGCTCTACCATTTGAGCCACACCTCCAGACTTATTTTTTCCTGGGTTTTGTGTTGATCCTGGTGCTTGAACTCAAAGCCTGAGCGCTGTCCCTGAGTTTCATTACTCAAGGATAGCACTCTGCCACTTGAGCCATAGTTTCACTTCCAGCTTTTTGATGGTTAATTGGAGGGTCTCATGGACTTTGCTGCCCAGGCTGGCTATGTACTGTGATCCTCAGATCAGCTAGGATTATAGACATGTACCACCAGTGCCCAGCTTTCACTGAAGTAACCAGTCTTGCTTCCCTTGGTGGAGATGGGTGTCTCAAGAACATCTCTGCTCAAGCTAGTGTGAAAGCATGAACCTTCCGATCTCAGCCTCCCATGTATGATGAGGTAACAGGCACATGCCACCCTACCCAGCTATGGCTTGAAAAGGGTCTTGAGAACTTCTTTGCTTGGGCTGTCCTTGGACTGTAATTGCTCTTTTTTTTTTTTTTTTTTTGGTCCAAGATAGGAACTCAAACTGCTGGCTATCTGACACACAATCCTTTTATGATTCTCACCATAGCTGGGATGACAGGTATAGTCCATCAGCTTCTTCATTGAGAATGACTCTTGTGAACTCTTTTGACTAGACTGGCCTGGAACTACAATCCTCCTGATCTCAGCTCCCACATAGCTAGGATGGCAGGCATGTGCCCACTGTGCCCAGGTCTAGATTATCAGGGAAAGTCTTAACAAACCTTTATCCAGACTAGCCTTGAACTGTGGTCTTCCAGATCTCAGCCTCCCTAGAATACAGAAGTGAGTCACCAAGCCCTGCTTTAACCTTCAGAGAGAGAGAGAGAATATATGTGTACCTTCAGTATATATGTGTGTGTTGGCACTGGGCCTTGAACTTGGGACCTGACTTGATAAAGGCTAGCTCTCTACCATTTGAACCACAGCTCCACTTTGGGCTCACAGACTTTTTTGCCTGATCTGGCCTCAAACCACGATCCTCTGATCTCAGCCTATTGAGTAGTTAGAATGACAGGTGTGAGCAGCTGGTGTCTGACAGCCACTAATCTTTAATCCTTTTTGTTAAAAGGTGAGAGTAAGGCCTAGAAAGGGTTGCACAGCAGAACAGTGATAGAACCCTTATTTTTATGTCTTGGTACATTGGACCAGGCAATAGTTCTTACCAGAGGCATGCATACTACAAGGCCGTTGCTGGCAGGCATTGGAATTGATATAGTAGGTAGAAGAGAAGATTAACACTCTTGTTAGGGTACATGGTGGGAGGTAGGAGGTGGGAGGTGAAAGCCTCTGGCTTGACTTTGGAGGGAACATCATTATCATCATTCCTGGCTCTCTATACCTCCCTCACAGCCAGTTCCTCCCACTCGTCTCCTGCCTATATTGCTTAGGTACAACTTCGGCTTTAAGCATAACTGATTTTCTGTCCCTCTTCTTTTTGAGGAAATGGAAATGGGGATGGGGGGATGCAAGGGGGAGGGGTGTATCGGGGGCTGGAGTCATAGGGACGCTGGGATATGAGCAGGACTGGCTGACGCCATGGCGTTTTCTCTCACCCACCACACAGGTCCTACCTGTGTTGTTCCCTCTTGTAAAAAAGACTTTGCATCTCTCTTCTAGAGTGTGTCCTGCCCTGAGCTCTTGGACCAGCATTATTCTGTGGATGTGGTAGAGGCTGAGCACTCAATCCAGCACCCAGTCACCAAGACTCCCACACGACGTATTGTTCATGCAGGCACACAGCCCAGTCCCAGTGACCCCAGTGCTGGACATCACTCCTTGTCTCTGTGTCCTGAGCTGGCACCCTATACAAGCATCCTGGCCTCTACTGTGGACAGCAAGCCAAACAGTGTCCGCCAGCGGCCCATTGCCTTTGACAATGCCACCCACTATTACCTCTACAATCGCCTCATAGACTTCCTCACCAGCCGTGAGATTGTCAACCGACAGATCCATGACATAGTCCAGAGCTGCCAGCCAGGCGAGGTGGTCATTCGTGATACCCTTTACCGCCTTGGGGTTGCTCAGATCAAGACAGAGACAGAGGAGGAGGGTGGAGAAGAGGAGGTGGCCACCGCAACTAAGTAAGCCAGGCTGTCACTTAGACTGCACCATCTCAAGCCATAATATGGCCCTTGCCCAAGGCATCCCTATCCAGGAACCTGCAGAAGCAGTCACTGGTGGGAAAGGGCCTCTGACTGCTGGGACTGACCAAAGAGCTTCCATTTCCTGAGCGTAGCAGGGCTCAGGGTCTTTGCTTCTCAACTCTCCAGGGCTCAGGGCAGATGCCAGGAACCCCCTGTCTAGCCCCAAGAGAGCATATAAGGGATACAATGTGTTTAGGGGAGGGAGGGAGACAGATAGCTGGTTCCTTGGGTGTACTGTGGGTCAGAGAGGAAGGCCTGGGGCAGGCTAGGCAGGAGATGGCACCAAGTGGGCAGGTCAGGGAGGACTCTGAGCTTGCCCTTCCCATCAGGTAGGTACTCCCTGCTCCCAGTCTCCAGCCACATTAGCTCCTTAGCCTATTGCCTTTGACTAGGGCCTCTATGGCCTCATTCACTCCAGAGGTCCCTTTGGGTTCTTGACTGCTCCCCAAAGAGGAGTACGTTTTTGTCTACATCTCTTTGCACCCACTTCTGGGAGAAGCTGAGGAGAGGTGGAACAGTCAGCCACAGCTGTCTTCTTGGACTAACTATCCTCTGCCCTGAGCTTTAGGGAAGATTACCCCCTTCCTCCTTTCCCTGGCCACTGCTGCTGCGCCCTGCATTCTCTGGACCCTGGGACCCTCACCACATTGGGGATGTGGCCCATGGTTGTGACATAACCTGGCAACAGTAGAAAAACTCCCTTCTGTGAAGGGGAAGCAGACAGGGCTGAAAGGAAACAGCAGGACTGGCTCAAGTGCCCATGGTTTGCTAGGGCCCAGGAACTGGCCGAATGTTATTTAATTTATTGAGCGGAGTGGAGTAGGTGGCTTTTTTCCCCCTTTCCTCCTGCCCCCATGAGAATAAAGTTTATTAAATTATCTGGTTTTGATGACACAAGAGCCAGTTCTATGTGCATTGTATGGGGTGCAGTGTGGTTGAGCTCTGGAGGACTGAGCTGCTCTGTCAAAGGGAACAGCAAATGATAAGGAAATCTCAATCACTGGTGTCATGGTATATAAAGAACCAGAGGCTTGCTATATTAATGCTGTTAGTTTAATGTTTACAAAAAAAAAAAAAAAAATCCCGGAGCATGACTGTTAGTTGTATGAGTCAACTTAAGGGAACACATGCTTCTTGAGTGGCATGGCTGGTCACATACCACGGCCCTCTGCCTTCTAACCCAGATTGACAGGGATCTTGGCAGAATGCATTCCACACACACTTCTAGCTGCCACTAGGTTCATTATAGCACTACCAGGTCCAGGGTGGGTTAGGGTTGAGGAAGGAAGGCCATAGGCAGAGACCAGAGAACTAGTTAGAGTCTTAGAATGGAGATATCTTGCTCCAAGGGGCCTGTGGGCTGCAGGTATCTGGGCTGTGCTCTACTTGGTCAGGGTAGGCAATTGCACCACTTCCAGACTGCTCAGCCCCAGGCAGCCTGGTCATCTCAATATTAGGGCAGTTCTTGGGGACTTGTAGGTAGTCAGTTCATTTCCAGGGAGGCATGAGGGAACTAGGGGTGGGGTTCTTAGAAGTGGGAACAAGGCCGCCAGTGACCTGGGGTCTACTAGTTGACACAGCAAATACGAGGCCAAAGTCAAGAGAACAGGTATGAGGGGCTCAGCCCCTTATTGGCAGTGATGGCCTAGGCTCTGGGAATTGGGCGTCTCATCTTCTGGACTCCTCAAATTCCAAAGTTTCAGAGTGGACCAAGCTGAGTGAAATGAGCCAGGGCAGAGTTCCGTGTGTTTGCCCATGTTGCCCTACCCATGGGGGAGTTGAAGCTTGGAGGAGAAGAGCAGTGCGCTTGCCCTCACTGCCTCAGCAGAACTGGTAGTTGTTGGGCTGCAGCAGTGGCTGGGCAGCATCTGGCTCACAGCAGGCCAGGTGCTCACTAGCACTCTCCTCAGGCTCCATGCTGCTGCTGTTGCTGCTGCTGCTGCTGCTGCTGCTGCCGCTGCCACAACCATCTCCATTACTGCTGCTACTATTTGGCAGGTTGGCGTAATCCTGAGATGAGAAGGGACCAAGAACAGTGAGTCTCAGTCAAGGTGTAGTGGAGTCTGCTAGCCAGCCTGCCCAGCCACTCACCTGCTCTCTCCTGTGTGCTTGGTCCTGTTTCTGAAGGAGGGTGCAGATCTGCTGGAAGGTGGGTCTCTGGGTGGGTTCCAGATCCCAGCAGGCCTGCATGATGCTGTATCTGAAGACAGACAAGTAGCATATGTGAAACTTCTTAGGTCTGGGGACTGTACATCCCAGGAGATGCCTACTAAACAGAGGTCCCCAAAGCTAGTCAAAGAGGAGCTTAGAGGCTGGGTAGAGCACTTACCTAGCATATACAAAGTCTTGGTTTCTATACCTAGTGCTCCAAAAAAGGTTAGTGTAAACCTAAATCCTTAGCATGCTTCCTCCTGATCCTTACAGTAACCCTCACAAAAGGATATTTCATCGCTCTTGACAGATGGAGCCATTTAGTATCCTCAGGGTAAAAGAAAAGGCTGGAAGTGGTGGTGTGGCTCAAGTGAGAGTGCTATCCTTGAGCAGCTCAGGGACAGCGCCCAGGCCCTGAGTTCAAGCCCCAGGACTGGCAAAAAGAAAAAGAAGAAGGGCTGGGAAGGTGGCTCAGTGGTAGAGTGCTCGCCATGCATGCTCAAAGCCCAGGGTTCGATTCCTCAGCACCACATAAGCAAAAAGAAAAAAGCTGGAAGTGGCGCTGTGGCTCAAGTGGTAGAGCGCTAGCCTTGAGCTGAAGAGCTGAGGGACAGCACCCAGGCCCAGAGTTCAGGCCCCATGACCGGACCCGAAAAAGAAGAAAAGATCCATCATCTAGACTAAGACGAGACCCAGTTCAGACCCTTTTCTGAGAATGGTCCCCTATACTACCTGGGATTGAGTGGAGACAGAAGCTTATTTTACAGTCTACTGTGGGGGAGATGAAGCCTGCCTTGGAGCATTCTGGACAAACACAAGGGTTGCACACCCCTCCATCCTCTTCCAAACCATGCCTGGGTGTCCTCTCCCCTCTCTGGGGACCCTTAACATACATGTTCTTTGGGGCAAACGCAGGCTGGGCCATTTGATATCCATCCTTGACCAGTTTGTAGAACTTGCTGTTCACTAGGATGCCAGGGTATGGGTTGAGTCCTGCAAAGGCAAGGATCGTGTAAGAAATCACATTTATCTTCCCATCCCCACCCACACTCATCTCAGGTGTGGTGTGAATGACCTACCAAAACATGGCCATAGAACACAGCTGTTCCCACCCAGTGCTTCCTAGGTATCATCTCTTGGAACTGGCACAGGCTTTGGGAGGTGGCAGCCTTCCACACCACACAGGAATTCAGTACAGGCTTTGGACTGTGGCAGAGCCAAGTCTGTTGTGTGTCCAGAGTGGGCACAATGCCAGATGAAGAGGCTGGTAGAGCAGTGTGTTTAAGGACAATCCAGGACCTTGAGTCTCATACTCAGTTGCATCTTCAAGGGCATGGAAGTTTTAAGGGACAAAGGTGTAATAGTAGTGGCAACTGCATAAGCAGAGATGGATGGGAGAAGAGCCCAGAGGGGATGTTTGTTAGCACTGGAAAGCCTGTCAGACCTATTCAGGAGCAGCAATGCTGGCTTAACCCTCACACTTGGCCTTCATTCCTGCACATCTTTGCTCTAATACTGCCACTGGGCATCCTTAACTTTCCCTACATGAGGCACAAGGTATCAGTGTAACGGAAGAAGAGCTTCAGACTAGGCCTAACTGGCCCAGCCACTCACCCAGTGAGAAGATCTCCCAGAGGAGGATGCCATAGGACCAGACGTCACTCTGCACAGTGTAGATGCAGTCAAAGATGCTCTCTGGGGCCATCCACTTCACAGGCAAGCGGGCCTGCCACAACAATCTCCATCACTTATGGCTCGGGCCTCTGCCCCAACCCAGCCCACTACCACCATGCAGCACTCACGTTGCCCTTGACAATGTAGTTGGAGTCATTCATGATGTCCCTAGCCAGCCCAAAGTCTCCGATCTTGGCCACGTGCCCATTGGTGAGCAGCACATTGCGCGCTGCCACGTCACGATGGATGCACTGAGGGAGAATGCAGTCTTTTAGTCCTCTAGCCTGAACTACCCAAGCTTACCTGAGAAAATTTACAATGGTCCATTAATGTTGAGAAGCCATCACCTGCCTCCACTGCCCTTCTAGCCCTTCATTTGTTGCTGAGCAGGAAGAGCTGCCTTTGAGCTGGGCAGTCTGCCAGCCCTCTGTGCTTTGAGCAGTCTCACCCCATCCCATTGCTAATAGCAGCTGCCACCTGTAGGGCCCTGCTGTAGGGAGCCCTTCCCTGAGCAGGCAAGTTGTACACGTTAGAAACCACTTTTACCTTCACACAATTCTGGGATTGTGCATATTGGTACCGGAAGAGACACCAAGGTTCAGGGAGTTTATTTGCTTAAGGTTACACACCAAGCAGCACAGCCAGCCATCATTGCCTCCTGAGTCTATTGTAAGGCTGTGGTCCCACCTCCCAATCCCTGAGCATGCATTTGTTCCTGGACTGACTACATTTTATACCTTCAGCTCATAAAGAAGGTCTGCTTCCACTTATGGTACCATGTGCTTCATTAGGGGAGACAGTGTTGCTCACATTGTTGAGTAAAAATGAGTGGATAAAGCCTATTCAAGGAACTGGTACCCTGCTGGGCCACACCAGGAAAACAGGTATGCCCAGACTAGGGGCACACCTATTTCTTGCCTTCTCTCACCTAGATGCTGTGTATTGATGCCTGGCTCTCCTCTGTACTTTTGCTCCTCTCTTCCCCTTCCATGTCTTCCCTTTCTCCCCTTATCCTCACTCATCCAGTCCCTCTACCCCAAGGGGCTTGAACCCTGGATGGTTTTGACTCACATTCTTGGAAGCCAGGAAGGCCATTCCCTGAGCCACTTGGGTGGAGAAGTGGAGCAGATCCCAGAGCTCCAGCGGCCGACTTTCCTCCTTGTCCAGATCTGGGGTGGGAAGAGATATCAGAGTAGTCCCACCACACTCCTACCTTCCCTGACCTCAGTTCCAACTCCCAGCAGCCCCTTTCTGCCCTGGTCCTGCTCCCTCCTCACCTTGCTCAGGGAAGGAGTCATTTGAAGAAGTGGAGACTGGTCTCATTTCCACATAAGTATCCATGCCCTGGCTGGAGAAGCCACTGTCCCTACATAGAAGAGAGGGTTGGGAGGTGGTCAGTCCTGATTACTGTGCTGGCCAGTTCAGAGATTGGCCTCCAGCCACCCCATGAACTTTCTTAACCATTCAGTAGAAAAGGAGAGGGACCTAAACATCAACATGAGTGTCCCTTTCCGTAGGGAAGCCCGCTGCCATAGCCTGAGTGGCCACTGCCACGTGGCCATTGCCAATGCTGGAGCTACAGCTGTTCCATCTTCGTCTATTCTTTGCTGTTCCTAAGGTCAGTGGGCCCCTAGAATTTTGCTCCTCTTGGTCCTTGCTCAGTTCGCAAGGACCAAAAGAAGTTGTCACTCTTCCCAGCCACAGCCCTGCTAGAATGGGACCATATTTTAGGCCCATTTTTCATGTTTTCTAGATGGCAGCTCTTACCCTTTGCTTCACATTCGAATCCAAGGAACTTTAACCCTCTCTGTGCCCAGACCACCCTCAGTGCTTCTCAGAAACGGGGAGCTTTAAAGCTCTGATTCTAAAGGAGAGCTTTTTTGTATTATAATAGTGATGTACAGAACTGTTACAGTTACCTAAGTCAAGCAAACAGTGCATTTCCTTTTGGACAATGTCACTTCTTCCCTCACTCTCAGAGGAGAGCTTCTTAAACTAACTCATCACCTGGAAATTTCCATAAAATACAGATTCTGACTCAGCAAGTTTGAGCAAGTGG